TATCTAAAAGCCTTGAGGCTAAAAAAAGAGGCAATATACTTACCTTTTCAGGGGCCCGTGGCTTGAAATGTTGCCACTTCACTGCTCCTTGACCACCTCCTTTGACTCCGGGTGGGTCGAGTACCCATTTCCCGCACGGTGTAGTTCCTCCCTGGGGTACCTGAGAAAAATACTTTTGCTTACCTGATCCCCGCTCTCGCAGGCTTGCTCGAACTGCGCATGTGCCCGCCCCATGATCCTTTGCGGCCGCTCGAGGATCTTCAGATCTTCTGATGGGAGCACGCGGCGGAGACTCAGGTAAGTTTTAACCTTTTTGTTAACTTTTTAAAAAAATATGTTTTTGCATATATCTACTGTTTGCCGGAAATAGATACTAGAGATGCAGCGGCTCAATGCCGAAAGTGCCATTTTCTTGCCGATACATCGGCGCATCCGTTCTTTCTTTCCTCCCCGCTGTGCGCTACATTGTCTCAGCGGGGAGGAAAGAAAGTAATAGATACTAGGGATGCAGTGATATATCGGCCGCCGAAACATAACGGCCGAAAATTGCACTTTTGGCTCAATGCCGAAAGTGCCATTTTCTTGCCAATACATCGGCGCATCCGTTCTTTCTTTCCTCCCCGCTGTGCGCTGCTTTGTCTCAGCGGGGAGGAGAGAAAGTGTGACAGCCGGCAGAGCACTGCGGGATGAGAGCGCTGTGAGCGGCTGGCGTCTCTCTATTTAAATAAAAAACATTTTCGGTTTGGGCTTGACAATTTTTTTTATTTCGGTTTCGTTTCGGTTTTGAATTTTCCATTTCATTTGTCCTTTGAGTCAGCAAGTCAGCTTAAAGTGCATTTCAAAACAATGGGGGAAATATATCAAAACTGGAGCAGACAAAATCTGGAACAGATGTGCATGGCAACCAATCAGCTTCTCTCTTCAGTTTGTTCAGTTAAACGGTCGCACAACTTTTGTACATCGAGCATGTTGGAAAACCAGCCGAGAAGCGTACGATTTTCGGCTGGTTTTTAACATGATCGAGAGATCACTGCTGAACGGGCCCACGGGGGGGCTTCAAATCTTGAAAACAAACTGAAGAGAGAAGCTGGTTGGTTGCCATGCACACCTGCTCCAGGTTTTGTCTGCTGCAGTTTTGATAAATCCCCCGCCCTCCCCCACAATGTTTTTTGATTATTTTTTTAATATAATTTAGTTATACCCGTAATTAACTGGATGGCTTGCCCAGCCCGGCACCATTATCAGCATATAGTTGTATTTTGTAGAGCCAGATGAACACATTAAACCTTCATGGCCAATATTTGTTTCCAGGTTATAAATTGTTCATCTTGACTTGAAACAGTCCATTAACCCCAATACTAATTCAGGTATCAGAGAACACGCGTCTATTCCTGTTGTATATTCCACTGTGCTGGTTTATATGTCACATTGTTCCGCTTCACTGATAGAGAACCGTTGTTACCCTCCGTTCTTTCCACTATGGAGTAGTGTCTGCTGCTCATTCATTATTCAGATCTGTTCCTAGAATGCAGGACTGCCCATCTGCCATAATAATTCCACTTCAAATCACTTAGCCATGCCGCTGGCAACACTAGGTCAGTGATGGACTACAAGCTCACTCCTGTGATGGACTACAGTCTCATGTTTAGTTTACTCATTTGTATTGAGATTGTAGTTAAGCACAGGAGCGAGCTTGGAGCGGTGACTACTTTACCACACAGACAGGGACCATGGGGAACAAAAGTAGCCCCCCTCCAGAAGGAAGGACAGTGTCAGCACCAATTCAGAGATGATTGGAGGATCTACAGCCGAGTGATACACAAATAAGATACATTGTTATTAGGAACTCCTGAGTTTTTAGTGTTACTTTAAGTTTTTTTAAAATACAATACAAAACAACTACATAACATAGTTGCTGGGATTTGTAGGCCCTCATACTCTAGAAATCTACAGCTTGCCCAGCAAAGCAATAACACTCATTATTGCAAATCTTTGAAAGGACAACTTACCAATGGTGTAAATTGGTCTCCTGTAGGGCATCAGACCGAAGCTGTACCGAAAAACGCCTCGAGCGTGGAACAGCGGCAGAGCTACGCCCATAATCTTCCGCAGCTTCTCCTGCACCGATCTGAGGAAGGAGCCTTTGGGATTTTCCACCTGGTCAAAGAGCTCGTTTTCTCCAAAGGAAAACACCGGAACCAAGGATGCCCTAAAGGGAAATATAGACAAGAAGAAGAATGTTATAGTGTGTATAATAAAAACAAGAGTCCTAAGGCGCCAAAACACACAGGCGTTATTTAAAACAAAACCCCAGGAACTGTAGTCCCCTAGCCCGCTAGCTCCCAAGCTCCCGGGTATCTGTTTTCTGTTAAAACATCTATACCCAACGTTTTTTTTCTTCTTCTTTTTGCCATCACCCGTTTCTTCTGGTTCTTCCAGCAGTGGTAGGAATTGGAAGAGATGTCCTATTACTCCCCAATAGAAATAGAAATACCCAACAGAAGGTCCAAGCTTGGCCTGCTCTATCCAAAATAAAAGAAAACGTTTTGGCTGAAGTTGGGCTTCAAATGCCCATGTGGTTCAGTATCTGCCCAATATTATCCAATGAGCTGCCTGGACACAACTGTTATAATGTAATATTTAAGGGAGAACTATGAGGTGAGTGTGACATTGAAACTGTCCCTGTGTCCCTGTGTGACACAGACCGGTTACATCTTCTGACGAGTTACAGATATATACAAACAAGTGAGTGCTGGTGACTTCTATCTTTACATTGAGACTGTCACAGGTCGGCTCTATAGATTAGGAAGTGAGCGAACATGTACTGTCGCTCGCTCACTTCCTGATCATCTCCCTGCAGAGAGCGGTGACTGTCAGTCACCGCTCCCTGCAGGGATTCCCCCTCCCCTCGCCGATCCTCCAGTGCTGACTGGAGGAACAGACAGGGGAGGGGACGGGCACAGCTGGCTCTGCCTCTAGATAGGCAGAGCCAGCTGTCACTCACGCAGCTGGGTGGAACTCGACAGTATTGTCGGGATCCGTCCTGGTTGCAGCCCTCTCGTTATATAGTGGGCAATAGACCACTATATACTGAGCTTGGGGTCAAGGGAGGAGGTTAGTATATGTCCTCCTGTGACCTTAAAAAGAACTATGGGATAAAAAGGTTACCCCGTAGTTCTCTTTTAAATGTAGTTCGGGGCAAAATTTAAAAAAACCCCATATGCTATAGATTGAAGTTACTGCACATTCCCCTGTGTGTTATCCCTTTAAAGACCCTGCAAGTACAGAAAAATACCCATTGATCTGCCACAAATGCACTCAGCTCCTAAACCCTTTGTGAGCTGATAAAACACAGCATTTTTCTGGACTGGGTGGTGTCAGCCCTGCCCAGATGTCTTTTGTTAAACTACTGAAACCCTCCTCTTTATTCTATTCTCCACTGCGTAGAAGGGAATTGTTTTGTTGTGAGATAAGGACCGGGAGGGCTGATTAGACCTATTGAGATCACACAGGGAGTGTGTTCAAGACACGGGATAGTTCTGAATTTCTGTTTTTTTTTGCACTTAGAAAACAGATATAAGAAAATGTTTTCAGTTGTTTATTTAACAGATAAAAAGGGACCAAACATGACAATTTCATCATTAGGCGTTACATACACATTAAATAGCATTACCCGTGTTCTATGGCCAGCCTGACAAATCCTTTCCTGTTTTTTGCTAGCAATGTGAAAGCGCCAGGTCGTGCGTCCAGTGATTCAGGAGCTCCGCCCACTGCGATGACTACTGCGTTTCCACACTTCTTGTTCCTCAGCAAATAGGAAGCACTGTCTTTGTCTGCGGGGATCAGTCCTAGGAAAGGATGATAATGACAGGAATACGTGATTAGACTTACACATATAAACCCCTGGCTGACTCGGAGGAAGGGA